CCTAAGAACATTTTACATCAAAATTATATACCATGATAAAATTTGAAGGTGCATCTTACCTCTACTCCTACAGATGCAACCGTGTACAAACTACACCCATCTATCAGGCGTGTAGTTGGCATACGGATGCATCCGTAGTCGTAGAGCTAAGATGCATATCCTATATTAGAACTGATTTGATGCCTACCCAGAAAGCTCTTGTGAAAAATAGAATGCATATAAGTGGGTTGCTTATTACTGGGGTGAAGCTATTGGACCTCGTTCATAGACAAGCTCTAAGTCACAAGCCCATAAACCATGCCTTTATGGTTGTGCACCCTCGCTCTTCGGGCCTGTTTGATAACAGGAAGTATCTTCCAAGAACTTGGAACTTACCTATTATTGTTCATGTTTGGTGTTTGATAAAAAAAATAGAAGTTAAATAAGGAACATCACTTCACTGTTGATCTTCCCCTCTTTGTGTGTTAAAAAAGCTTCAACCAAACGGTCGGAACTTGAAATGGGAAGTTTTTATAAAACTTCACCCCCGATAAAAGTTTTGCCCCAATACAGTCCTCCTCTCTTCAGGTCTCTTGCCATCATCACCCTCGCAATCATAAGCAACTCATCCTCTCTTCCTCTCCCAGGTCTCTTGCCCTCATCGCCCCCATTGCTGCAAACTTGGAGCTTAGAGAAAAATACAGTGAGTTCTTTTTTTTCATATTTTTATACTTTTTAAAGGTCAAAGAAGATGACCCCAGATCTGTAAGACTAGGTTTTGGGTTATGTAAGCCTCATTTCCCCACTCCTTTTTGTCACTCTCTCTGGCCTCTCTCTCTTCCTTCACCCCTGAAGACAAGGAGAAAAAGTTCTCTAACTCTCAAGGTGAGCTTTTGTATGCTCCTTTTCACCTCTTTTTTCTGGTTTTTTTCCCCTTCTTCCTTTGGTTCTATTGCACATTTTTGTTATATCTCCCTTTTCTGAGATATTCCCCCTCTTTGTGCTTTTTTTTTTGGGTAAGATCTAGGGCTTATTTGTTCAGATTAGGATTTGTAGTGTTTTTCAAGAGCTTTTGGGTGAAATTTTGGCAGATCTAGGTTTTCTAATGATCTATTTAAAGACTATGGTGAAGGTGATTTTTTTGTTAATATACATTCGAAATTTCTAGTATTTTGAAATTTTCTTTGAATCTGATAAGAGTTAGGGTGATTCTATGTGTTAGCGATTTCACATTTCAATGTTTTCTCTGTTAGTGAAAATTAATGAAGTGCGAGACCAATCCGATATCAAAGAAGAGATGTCGTGAGGCTGGTGATCACAGAGCCTAGATATTTCTTGCCCTTTTGAAAAAGAGTGAACCCTTTTGAGAGAGAGTGAATAAATTATTTCTGCTCACAGAAGCTCTGTGTTTTCCTTTGCTCTTGCTGATGCGTTCTTCCTCTCTCTAGCTTCCCTTTTTATAAGAAGAAGAAAAGGGCTTTAACAGTTATCTTTCCAACGGGTCTCTGAGAAGGGTCTTTCATGATCTTAGGGATATCTATCCAACGTTCATATGAACGTTAGTTTATGTGAACATTAAAAAGCCATAGCATTCCTCCTACAATTGTAGGCTTCCCATCCCACAATTATAGGTAAAGTCACGTGAGGCCTTATGACTATACGTGTCAATATCTCCCACTTGGCCATGACGGCCGAGTGTAATAATCAGTCACATGCATACTCCCACTTTTGAGTATGACCTTTTAAAAAATTTCTTGTCAAGAGGTTTTTCTCATGCTTTCGCAGATATGCTTCTCATAATAAATATCCATCATGAGGATTTTCACGGTTATGCGGATCTTGTCACTCATAAAAAAAATTGACTGACTTAGATATTTTTAAGTCCCATTAAAGTAGTGTGCTTAGACAGTAGTTCAACACTCAGACCTTTTGTTAATGGGTCAGTGATCATATCTGATGAGAGCAAGTAACTAACGGTTACTTCACATTTCTCAACTACATCTTGAATGTAGTGATATTGGATATCTATATGTCTTCCTTTAGAGCTATTTGCTCAACTTTGAATTAATTTAATTGTAGCTTGATTATCACCAAATATTTGGATCGATCTGTCGATTATTTACAGCTTCAAGCTATCTATGAAGCACTTTATCCAGACGGCGAAAGTACAAGCAGTGTTACATGTAATGTATTCTACTTCCTGTGTGTATCTAACTACACACCCTTGTTTCTTGCTAGACAAAGAAACAACTGCCCCTCCAAAGAGAAAAATATATCTTGGGGTGGACTTACTATCATCCTTATCCCTAGTAAAATCTTCATCTAAATATCTTATAACTTCAAACTTATTTGCTTGAAAGCACAATTTTAGATGTTTTGTTCCATTAATATACCTTAAAATTCTTTTTACTGCTTTCCAATAAACTATGCCTAAATTACTTTGATACATCTACTAACAAGTGTGCATAGGGAACATTAGGTTTTTCTTGTCCTTCTACTGGACAATCCTTCCTAGACAACTTTATCCATTTGCAACAGAAGTAGATAATGGCTTACAATTTTCCATTTGAAATCTTTTAATAACAGAGCCAAGATATCTATCTTGATACAAGCACAACATTTTTTATTATCTATCTCTAGTTATTTTTATGCCTAGGACATAATATGCTTCTCCCATATCTTTCACCTCAAACCGAGAAAAAAGCCATGACTTAGTTTTATCAATCATTTCTAAGTCATTTCTAGCTATCAGGATATCATTTACATATAATGAGAGTATTGTGAATTTACTCCCACTCTTCAACATATAAACACAGTGGTCCAATCTATTTACTTCATATCCCATCTGTAGGATGGCATCATGAATTGTTAAGTACGATTGTCTTAAAGATTGTTTTAAACCATATAAAGACTCATTTAATTTGTATACTTTATTTTCTTGACCTTTAATTATGTAGCCCTCAGGTTGCTTCATGTAAATGGTTTTCTTTAGTTCATCATCCAAGAATGTAGTCATTACATCCATTTGATAAAGTTCTAGGTCATAATATACAACGATTGTCAAAATTATTCTATTTGATATAAATGTTACAACTGGGGAATAAGTGTCACCATAGTCGACTCCCTTTCTTTGGGTGAAGCCCTTTGCTACTAACTTAGCTTTAAATTTATCAATTAATCCATCAGATTTTAAATTATTTTTAAGTACCTATTTAGAATATATAGGTTTCCTATCTGATGGTAAATCACATAAATCTCAAACTTTATTTTTCTCAATAGAATCCAATTCCTCTTTCATGACATTAAGTCATTCTTAATTTTCTTTTGACTTCATAGTATCATTGAAGTCAAACGGGCCATGGATTTTATCTAGGTCAATAAGGTTGTCTGTGTCTTCACTCATATAGACATAGAAGTCATCAAGGTACGATGGAGGAGCTCTAGACCTTTTTTGAAAACATTGGACTTCAACATCATCATGTTGAGTAGGGTTATCTATATCTACAGTAGGTAGTGATTCTAAGTCATTTAGGATATTAAGTGGATTATCATTATCCACTACAGGTATGTTTTCTTCAATAAAATATTCTAAAAACTCAGCATCTCTGCTTTCAATGAGCCCCTTATCTTTATTGTAAAATCGATATCACTTTGATCATTCGGGGTATCCTATAAAATTACAAACTAGAGTTTTGTTTTATAACTTATTTCGATGCCGATATGGAATTAGGACATGTGCAGTCGACCCCCACTTCTTTAAGTTTGATAGATCAGGTTTTCTACATGTCCATAGTTCATAAGGGGTAGAATATATTACTTTAGTTGGAACCCTATTAAGAATATACGTGGATGTGCTTACTGCTTCTCCCCAAAAGGTATTGGGTATATTAGCATGAGTCATCATAGATCTAGTCATTTCTAAGATGGTTCTATTACACCTTTCAGCTATTCCATTTTGTTGTGGCATAAAAGGTATAGTGGTATTTCTTTTAATACCATATCCTTGGCAATAAGCATTGAAAGTTTCATATTTGTATTCACTTCCCTTAAC